CTTCTTGGTACTTTGCCTAATTATTGGGATACTTTTAGGACATCCTTGTCTAACTCCGCTTCGAATGGTATCATCTCAATGGACTTGGAAAAAATTAATGTTATGAATGAGGAGTTAAGGCGTAAGTCACAAGGTTCTTCTTCATATTCTGAAGTGTTGATTACCGAATCAAAGGGGGACATTAAAGTAGAGGTTCAAGTAATCGTGAAACTTTACGTGGTAAATCACAAGGAGACTCTAATAGGTTCTCTCATATTGAGTGTCATCATTGTGGGGAAAATAGACACATTAAGAGGTATTGTCGTAAGTTAAAAATGGAAAACAAGAAGAAGAGCTACAACAACGACAAAAAGGAAGGTAACAATAATGAACATGTTTCTATTGTTAATGATTTCTTTATTGTTTGTGATAGTTGTATTGAGAATTTCAATATATCATGTGATGAGATGGATTGGGTGGTTGATAGTGGTGCTTATACTCATGCAACCTCGAGACATGATCTTTTTCTACTTACGAGACCAGTGACTTTGGGATTGTTCGTATGAGAAATAATGGGCAAGCAAATGTCATCGAAATAGGAGATATTTGTGTCAAAATTAGCGATGGGACAAATATAGTTCTCAAAGGTGTGAAACACATTCTGGAACTTCGATTCAATATTTTATCTATTGTAGAGTTGGATAATGAAGGATACGATAATACTTTTTCGGGCAATGAATGGAAGTTAAAAAAAGGCTCAATGGTGGTTGCTAAAGCAAAAGGGAATTTGAACTTGTATGTCGTCCAACTTGGGGTTTCGAAGTTCTACATAAACACTTGTGATAATGATAGCTCATCCGAATTATGGCACAAGCATTTCGGTCATATGAGTGAAAAAGGTTTGAGCATTTTGGTAAAGAAGAATGTGTTGTATGGTGTTTCCGATGCAAAGTTGAGAAAGTGTTCACATTATTTGGCGGGTAAGCAAAGGCGAGTTTCCTTTATGTTATCCGAACCAAATAGGAAATCAGAAGTGTTGGATTTAGTATATTTTGATGTGTGTGGTCTGATGAAGACACAGTCGCTTGGTGGTGCATATTACTTTGTGACTTTCATTGATGAATGTTCTCAGAAAACGTGGGCTTATACCTTGATGATGAAACATCAAGTGTTAGATGCCTTCAAGTCATTTCAAGCATTGGTTGAAAGAGAAACGAGGAAAAAGCTCGAGTGTATCCGAACCGATAACTGGGGAGAGTATGTTGGACCCTTTGACAAGTATTGTTAAGATCAAGGTATACGTCATCAAAAGTCTCATCTAAAGACCCCACAATTGAATGGGTTAGCTGAAAGAATGAATAAAACTTTGGTGGAAAGGGTGAGATGTTTACTTTCTCAATCAAAGTTGCCAAAATACTTTTAGGGAGAAGCATTAGGCACGATTGTACATCTTTTAAACCTCACTCCACTTGTCCCGTTGAAGTTTGATGTTCTAAATCATGTTTAGAGTGGCAAAGATGTTACCTACGACCATCTTTAGGTGTTTGGATGCATGGCTTATGTGCATATTTTGAAGGATGGGAGATCAAAATTGGATGAGAAGACGAAGAAATGTATGTTTGTTGGGTATGGAGTGATGAGTTCGGGTATCGATTCTTTGATCTGGTTTAACGGAAACTTATTTATAGTCGTGATGTTGTATTCATGGAGGATTATACCATTGAGTACATAGACAAAGTTGAGAATAAAGATCCGAATTTTGAAGACGAAGAAATGGTTGATACAGACTCAACTACTATTGCTCCTACCCCTATCACTTTCTAAGATGTTCCAATTCAAAATCAAAGTATGGATTTGAATGTTGATAATGTTTTAAATCTTAATGATATTGTTGATGTAGGTGCTACAGAATACGTTGTTGAAAATGAGGTTGATCAAGAGATTGAAAGTGTTGAGCAACCAGTTGCTTCTAATGAGTTTAGGTGGTATAATCGTGATAAAAGGCCTCCTGCTTGATACCCCTTAAATGAGTATTTCTTTTTTACCGATGGTGGAGAATCCGAAAGCTTTAAAGAAGTTTTAGGAGATGTTAACAAAAAGGAATGGATGGATGCCATGGAGGATGAATTACAATTACTTCGTTAGAATAATACCTTTGAGTTAGTGAAGTTTCCAAAGGGTAAGAGAGCATTGAAGAATATATGGGTTTATCGGATTAAGCAAGATGAGTGTACTTCTCAAAGAAGATGCAAGGCTCTCTTGGTGGTAAAAGGTTTTAAAATACGAGAAGGTGTTGACTTTGGCGAGATTTTTGTGCTAGTTATGAAGATGCAATATATTCGAGTGATTCTTGGGCTAGCCGCTAGTCTTAATTTAGAAGTAGATAAAATGGACGTGAAGACAACTTTCCTTCTTGGTGATCAACATGAAGAAATTTACATGGAACAATCAGATGGATTATGAGAGAAAGGCAAAGAAGACTATGTTTGTAAATTGGTAAAAAGTATTTATGGTTTGAACAAGCACCTTGCCAATGTTATCAAAAGTTCAACCCAGTGATGATTGAACATGGGTACAAGATGACTAAGGCTGATCATTGTGGGTTTTCCCGAAATTTCTCTGAAGGTGATTTCATTATTCTCTTGCTTTATGTGGATGATATACTAATTGTTTGAAATAATATTTCAAAAATTAAAGAGTTGAAGAACACTTTGAGTTAATCTTTTTCTATGAAGGATTTAGGAGAGGCTCGGAAAATTTTTGGTATTGAAATTGTTCGAAATCAAAATGAGAAGTTGTACTTGTTACAAGAAAAGTATGTGGAGAAAGTCCTTCGGCGTTTCAGTATGGATAAGGCTAAACTGGTGAGCATTCCACTTGCTTCTCATTTCAAGATTAATCATAAACTATGTCCATCTACGAATGAAGAAAAGTTGAGTATGAAGAACATTTCGCACTCGTCGGCCATTGATAGTTTAATGTATGTTATGGTTTGTACAAGACACGATATTGCTCATGCCGTGGGAATGGTGAGTCATTATCTCTCAAATTCAGGAAAAGATCATGGGAGGCCGTGAAATGGGTGATGAGATATTTACGTGGCACTTCGAATTTAAGACTAACTTTGGGATGTATGAAGCATATGTTTGTTGGATATACAAATTTATATTTGGCCATAAGCTTAGATGATTGAAAATCAACTTCGGGATATATTGTGACTTTTATCGGAGGATTCGTGGCTTGGCAACCAAAGTTGCAAAAGTGTGTTATACTTTCTACTACCGAAGCCGAGTTTATAGCCGTCGTGGAAGCATCAAAAGAGTTTTTATGGTTAAGGAAATTTGCAATGGAACTTGGTGTGGAACAAGAAAAGTATGTCTTGATTTGTGATAATCAAAGTACCATTCACTTATCGAAGAATTCCTCTTTTCACTTGAGGTCGAAGCATATTGATGTTCATTATCATTGTATTTGTGATGCATTAGATTCCAAGTAGATGGAGCTTGAGATGTTTCACACTCATGACAATGGTTCGAATATGTTGACGAAGGTGTTGCCTAGAGGAAAGTTTGAGTTTTGTCGCACGGTAGCTGGATTAGTGTTGCCCTCCAACTAGTCGGTTGGGGGAGTTTGTTGGACTATCCCTCTATTTTTGGAGAGACCCAAATTAATGTGGGTTAGTGGCCCATGTGTGTCTATGCCTTTGTTATTACCCAACAAAGAGAATTATGTTACTCATTCATTATGTGAAAAAAACAACAAGAAAAGTTAGAGAGAAAATCCTATTCCCGCAGTCCCAATTTTGCACAAATCAGTCCCAGAAAATCGGAGCTTGCTCAAAATTCAAGCAGTCCTGAAATTTTGACTCAACGTTCAGGACTCATAGGAGTACATTCTAAACGATTTTCATTGGATTCAGAGCTTTCTAAGTCGGTTTGTGGAGTCCATCTTTAAGGTCTAAATTTCTTAGTGTTTTGAGCTGTTTTATCTCTCTTGATTCTTGTTGTATTCCAATATTGATTTCAAATCTTGATGATGTTTATGTATGTCTCTAATTAGTCTTAGAGAGAATCTTGCTTGTACTCATTGTTAATTATAGTCAAGATTTTAAGTGGCCTACAGATCTCATGATTTTTTACTTCTAATTAACGGAGATTTTTTCATACTAAAATTATGTTGTGTTGTTTTATATGTTTTATTAATTATCGTTAATTTTAATATTTGAGAGAGATCGTGTTATTGATTTATTTCGTCGTATTTGTGAATTTCCTCCTAACATATCATACTAATTCTAAATATATTAAGATTTATATTCACATCATTACGATTGATAGTCACATCCATTGATAGTCACATCATTTATAGGAGAGGGCCATAGTAAGGAAAGGGATGGCCAAACCTCAAAAAAAAATTCTGTCTTTATATAGGTTTATATATATGTTTCTCTTGATTAGCGTAGGAGAATAAGAAAACGTGGATTTAGATGGAGTATTATGCAGAAAGATCAAGGACATGTTAGAATTTTCCATACTAGTAAAAACTATGTTTATGTGTACTAATATTTGTCTCATATAGAGATTTTAGTTTTTCAACAACCTCCTCCTCACCATGTAATATTTAGTGGTGTCTGATTTTCTGTTTTGTTACTCTATATTTTTGAAAGGCCTTAAATTTTTATCTTTACCTATACCTTGATATTTTACACAACTATACACTACATCCATAAATATCTTTAAACAATCCCCACACTTTTTTTGTTTTTTTCTTTCTAAATATGCAATAAAAATCTCAATGGTCCCTACTTAGTTTCTAAAGAGAATCTTAATGACACTTCTTCTTTCACACAACATTTTTATTACCAAACATACTGTTCAAAGCTCCTAAAAATCCTCCAAAACAGTAGATGAGAATTTCAAAAAACATAGTAAAAAAACAGAAAAGTGAAAATAACAAAAAAAAAAAAAGTGAATAATAAGAAAATGCAGAAACAAAATAGAGGAATATTTTTCCAGCAAGATTTTTTACAAGCAGTTTCTAGATTTTTTTAAGAATGTAGCACCAGTTCCTGGGACTGAACATCCATAAACTTCTTGAATTTCCTTAACTCCATCCTTAAACTTGTTAACATGAAGATCTTGGTGCTGAAGTAATGAATAATGATTCTGCATAAACAGAATATAAAATAGTCATTATTATAAGATCTTAGTAAATATATTAGTATATAATAATATTTTAAAAAATATCTGAGAAAAATATCTATAACTATAAGTAAGTATTAAAAGGTGTAGAGCAAGTTAAACCTTACAGAAACCATTTGGTGGGAATGAAGCATCAAGAAAATCTTCAAAACAGTAACCAGGTATTGTTTCTGTCAAGTATTCAGAAATGCTGCTTGTTGAAACTGAACCAGTGTCACTAGCCATGTTGTCTTCAACCATACCAGAAGAACTCGCATTTTCATTGGAAACTGATCTTGGTATTATGTTTGGTTTCGAATACCAGGAACCGATATTGGTGGATGATGTATCTGTGTCCATAGAATTGCTTGAAAGCTTCACCCCACTGAGAAGAAACCTGCTATGTTTCTGTGTATGTTCATTTGCTCTATGGATTGGAACGTCGCATTCTCTGCATAGAATCGCTCTATCTTCTTGGCAAAATAGATATCCACGCCTCTCCTGCAACAATAACACACAACTAGTAAAATACCCGTGCATTTGTAGCTGTCCACTTATTCGTAGTAGATATATAAGTTATAAGTTTGATATTATAAAATAAGATACTCGTGCATGATTTGAGTCACGACATCATGATTTTTGATGTTAGTGCAACCATGTTCACAATCTGACCGTGATTGAGGTTGCATCAGTCCCATCTGACTAAGGTTCTTTAAAATATTAAAGATCCTGATGGGACTGACTGCAACCTTATCGCGGCCATTATTAAAAACAATGATAGTGAATATAGTAGTTGATATTCATACTTGACAGATATCACAAAGAGGGTAGTCCTTGGAGTTGAGGTGGACAAGAGGGAAACGAGAATGTTTGGTTGCAAGTTTGTTAGCATGGTGGATAGTAAAATCACATCCATGACAAAGAGCAGCTTCATCTGAAGGACAAAACATAGAAGCCTCAGCTTTTTCACAAACATCACATTGGATCTTCATATATTTTGGTAGCTATACTAGACAGTTTTTGTGCTTTGATTGCTAATGTTGTTTTGTGTTTGTGTTTTTTTTGTCTTCACAACAACACTCCTTTAACTTTAAGAAGGAGCTTTGTTGGAATGGGGTAAGGGAAAGTAAAAGTAAAGAGACAAAAGAATTATGGGCATATTTGGCATTAGGGTCCAGAAACTTCAGCTCCCACTTGGCTAAACCTCAGTGGTTTGTATTAAGTGATTTCTGACTTTGAGAGAAAAGTTAATAACTCATATGAATGAATGAATGTAAGTCTATATTTCATAGATACACTATATCTATCTATATTCATTTTTCTCTCTCTTAGTGACTTTGCAAGTTGGCTATTATTAATATTGGTAGTATTCTATTCTATTGCACATTAGCTATCACTCTCAGTCTGAGTGTTCTGAATTTTTAGCTGCTTTATCTGACTCACTTTATTCATTCATAAGCCTCATTAGTTTTTAATTCGATCTAACTTATTTAAATAATCACTTTTTTGCTATTCTAAGTAACTAGTACTAAAATAAATGAGTGACACTTTATGACAACTAATTCTAAGTCACTGCTAAAATAAATGACACTCTGAGCAAACCAGAGAAAAGATAAGAACAGGCGCAAGTGTTGCCACTTACTAGTATTGATCAAAGCTTCCTTCTTAGAGCTTCCAATATTTATTTCATATGGACAGTATAAAATATCCAATTGCACACGATTATTAAAAAATAAAAGTATCATCAATTCTAAATGTAAAAATGTGATGACAAACTAAGACTATTTGAATTTAAGAAGATTAGTTTCGTGAGAATAGGTTTAGGTAAGCATATCTAACTATATCCTAAATTATTTTTCCATTATAATGAAGTGGTCTTTGTTGGTGATCTAGTTATAGGTACAAGAAATACGGTAGGAGTGGAACATATGCAGACGTCTTTTATTTAGTTTTATCTAGTGATTGAGTCTAGCAATATGTCTTAGTTTGTTAGAGACCCTGAGCAGCCTTTAAGATGTTATTCGAATCTTGATTAGGTCTAATGAGGTTGACTTCTCTTTTTATCAAGAGGATTCTTTTTAACATAAGAAGTTGGTTTAGTTAGAAGAGAGATATGTTTTGGCTAAAAAGGTTAGGGTGGAAGAAGGATTGCAATGATTGTTGGTTCCTTCAATATTAGAGAGCTAAGGGTAGTGATACAACTCGGAAGATGCATGACTTGATCAAAGACCTTACCTTGGATTTGGTTCCTATTCAAGAGGTTAAACTTAGGGAAGTTGAGGAGTATTTGTGTTGTTCTATGTGGGGTAATTCATTTTATGGTTAGAGATGTCTCTGGTGGCGAGCTTTAGAGGGGGTTTCTTTCTATGTGGTGTAACGTAAAGGGGAAGGCGGTCTTCTCGTTTGTTGGGCTAGATCATCTCAGGGTGTGCCTTGAGTGGGGGTGAATGCTCGACCTAATGTTGTTGTGAATGTTTATGCCAAGTGTTCTTTGATAGATAAAAGGGTGTTGTGGTGCCAATAGATGCAGGTGTGCGAGCAATTTCTCAATGATGTTTGGTGTGTCGTGGGAGATTTCAATGATGTCCTTTTCCCAAAAAAGAGAAATAGAGTAGGTGTGGGAGATCAGGGTTTAACCTTAGTGGAATCCCTTGAGTTCAAACCTTTCATCGAGGTGTTGGAGTTGGTGGATTCACCCTTGTTAGATAGGAGGTTTATTTGGTATCACTCTAATGGGGTTGCCACAAGAAGGTTGGATCGTGTGGTATTTTCTACATGGTGGGACGAGAAGTGGGGTCAGAGGAACCTTTGGGAGCTATCCCATGTTGTCTATGATCACTATCTAGTAGTGAGAAAGTACCCATCTCATCTTTGGGCCTTAATCCCTTTAGGTTTGACAACTTCTGGTTGGGTGTTTCGAGCTTTGATTTGTTAGTCCGAGTTTTTTGGGGGGTGGAGAATTGTCACCGCTTGATGGAATGTCCCCTAAGGGATAAGTTGCTAGCCTTAAAATTATTTATAAGATTTGGAATTTTGGTAATATGAACTTTAGGATTAAGGTTTGTTCGAGTAAGATCGAGAGTTTTTAGTTGAGGGTGGACGTTATAGATCTTACTCTAGAGGAGTTACAAGGTAGATTATTGGCTTGTCAGGAGCTATAATATCTTATTCAATTTTGTGATTCACAAATTTTTCATAGATCTAAAGCAGTCTTGCTTAAAGAGGGGGATGTGAATACATGGTAATTATATGCTAGGGTTAAGCAGAGAAGTCATATGAATAGTTTGATTGCTCTTCGTGTTGGGGACTGGTGGATGGAAAAAGTGGAAAAGGTTAGAGAGCAGGTTTCTAGGTTCTTTAAAGAGCACTTGTTGATTCTGTGGGTTTTAGGCCTTCCATTGACAAGTTTATTCTTCCTTGTCTCTCATTGTTTAAGGCAGAGTCTTTTTCTACTAAGTTTACTCATGAGGAATTGGAAGAAGTGGTCCCCCAGATTGATGGTCCAAGAGTCCAGGCCCAGATGGGTTTAGTTTTTCCTTCTACAAGAAGTTTTGGGGGCTTATTAAGTTGGATGTGTTTGAGATGTTTGACCAACTTTTCATAATGGTGTTCTGCCAAAGTGGCTGGCGTATTTTTTGTTTTCCTAATCCCTAAGGTAGATTATCCTCTAGGTTTAGGAGATTTTAGGTATATCTCTCTTCTTGGTTATTTGTATAAGTTGGTGGCTATATTGGTAGTTGTTATGAATTTAATTTCTTCTGAGCAGTCGGCCTTTATTAAAAGGAGATTGTTGGTGGATGGTGTTGTTTCTCTTAATGAGGTCTTAGATTTAGTGAGGAGGTTAAAAAGGGAGTGTTTTGTGTTCAAAGTTGATTTTGAGAAGGCTTATGACTCGATTAGCTGGTCTTTCTTGGATTATATGCTGGTAAGATTTGGGTTAGATGGTATGTGAAGAGCCTGGATTTAAGGTTGTATCTTTTTGGGGATTCTTTATATGTTGGTGAGTGGGTGCCCAATGGAAGAGATCTATATCCAAAAGGGTCTGAAGCAAGAAGACCCGTGGCCCCCTTCCTTTATATCATCATGAATACTACCACAAACCGATCCAAATAAGTATGAAAGATATGGTTCATATACTCCATAAATATACATGGTGCATTAGTGACACCAAAAGGCATCACTGAAGATTCATAGTGTCCATATCGAGTTCGGAAAGCTGTCTTCTGAATATCCTCACCCTTTACTCGAATTTGTTGATATCCCGACCTCAAGTCAATCTTGCTACACATACATGCATCTACCAATTGATCCATCAAATCATCTATTCTCAGAAATGGATACTTGTTTTTGATCGTCACTTTGTTCAATTGTCAGTATTCCACACAGAGTCTCATACTACCATCCTTCTTTTTCACCAGCAATATCGGAGCTCCCCAAGGTGATACACTTGGTCTAATAAATTTCTTTTCAAGAAATTCTTCCAGTTGTTTCTTTAATTCTGTTAATTCAAATGCTGAAATTCGATAGGGTGCCATAGAAACAGGTCTCGTACCCTGAACAACTTGCAACTTATCTAAAGCAGCCTGATTCTCAATGGACAAGGCGGTCATTAATGAAAATACCAGAGCTTAATCTTGCATAAATTCCTTCAACTGTCTAGCAGATAAGAATCCCACTTCCTCTTCCTCATCAGGAGTAGAAAACCACACATGTTTGTTGTAACATTTAATATGAATGTAATTATATTCCAACTAGTTCATACCCAAAATTACATCCAGACCAATCAACGGTAAACAAACTAGATCAACAAAGAAGTCTTTGTCATAGATGGACAAAGGAAACTTCAAGTATACTAGAGAAGTAGTAGCCGATACCTTAGCTGGAGTTTCGATAACCATTTCTCCATTTATAGAGGATAACTCGAGACCCAACTTTTTAACACAATCAGCAGCAATAAAACAATGCGTAGCACTAGTATCAATAATAGTAATTAAAGGAGTACTATTAATGAAGAAAATACCTTTAATCAAACGATCTCCACTGGATGTCTGAGTCCCAGCTAAAGAAAAAACTTTCCCACCATTCTGAGCTTTCTTCGGTTTTTGGCACTGAGTACTGATGTGTCATTCCTCACCATAGTTGAAACATATCACTGCCTTGTGTCTATAGTCAGCTACCTCATGCCCAGCCTTACCACAACGAAAACACTTCTTCACTTCTCCAGTGCATGCATTACTTTGGTGACCTGGCTTCCCACATATGTAACACACAACGTCAGTAGGAGCACCTCCCCCACTGTTTCTTCTTCCATCACTAACCCTCTGTCTGTTGTTGTCATTTGGAGCATTGTAAAGCTTCCCACGATTCTGTTGTTGCCTACCTCTTTTCTCAATTAAAGCTTTGTAGTGAGCCTTACTGTTCTCCTCATAAATTCTACAACATTTCACCAAATCCAAAAATTTACGGATTCACTGATACCCAATTTCTTTCTTGATCTCAGAATGTAAGCCATTCTTAAACCTAACGCACTTAGAAAATTCAGTTGTCTCCTCCGTGTAGTGAGGATAAAAGTTTTCCAACTCCACGAATTTGGAAGCATACTCAGTTACCGTTAAATCCCCTTGTTTTAGTTCCAAATATTCAATCTCCTTCTTCCCACAGACATCCTCAGGGTAATACTTCACCAGGAATTCCCTACGAAACAAAGCCTAAGTAATATCCTCACATGTTCCTTCCAGTCTCTGGCGGGTAGCAACTCACCAGTCACCAGCCTCTCTTGCCAGCATATGTGTACCAAAATGCACTTTTTGTGCATCTGAGCAGTTCATGACTCGAAAGATCCTTTCAATATCCTTGAGCCACTCCTGCGCTCCTTCAGGATCATGCTTCCCTTTGAACGTAGGTTGATGGTTCCTTTGGAAAGTTTCCAAAGCACGAGTCCCATCGTTCCCACCAGCATTAGGGTGATTCTGCATTGCCTGAGCCAAAGCCT